TAAGCTGTAATAAACCCTGTTTTTGTGTTGAGGATAGTTTCAAGGGATTTGGAGACAAAAAAAAATTTTCCAAATTTTTTCTAATATTCACACAAAAATCAAACTTTCTAAAAAAATCACACATTCTTAAGCGTCTACTCTCATTGATTGGGCTATAATTGTTTTTTAATTTCTACGGTTGTCCTAATTAGGCATCGAATTACTCCTATAAAATTCATACCAAATTCACTTGAATTTAAAATGAGAACGAAAAATTTAAGCTAAAAATAAAAGAAAAAAAGTTAAAAGAAATTTATGTTTTTTAAGTTTCGAACACGACCAGTGGAACTATGCCCGAGATCCTATAACATTTACGGGTTTTTTGTTAATAGATTTTGGAGAAATTTTTTAAATTTTGTTTTTCCTTTTTTCACAACTTAATAAGTTTGAGGTTTTCCTTTTATTATTTTTTTTTCACTTAAATTTACAGAACGGGAGGCGTTCTCGAGGAGCGTATTGACGAGCCCGCCAATTTAGCTATTGCTCCTTAAATCAAACGGCCCTGCATTAATATTTCGAAAGACATGACATGAAATGTTTCTCGGGACACTGAATCACATGAAGGAAACTTTGATTACGATATCTTTTACACATTCAAATAACAATCTATGCTTATCATGCATCGGCAACCTTCAAGGTATCTAATTTGCAAAATTTTTATCTCTAAGTTCACTATTTTATTTCAACTTAATTATATAGTTGAGGGCTTTAATTTCTGAACAATTTTATTTCATTTTTCTACTTTTTGATATACCTATTTAAGCAAACCAAGAAGTGGGCTTGAAGTCAATTGGAAATTTTTGTTTCACAGTTGAAATTAGTCAAGAAACGTTTTATGCTCAATCTGAATCATTATAAGTTTTAAATTTTGTAATTTAGTGCTGAAAAATTAATTGGAAATCTAAACTATTCCCCAAAAAGTCACCAAACCTTAAAAAAATTTATCGCTACCCTTTAAAATTAACAGCACAAGTTTGAGGCTGTAAATTAATCAGTTTTTATTCTACAAAAGCCTTGCATTTGAACAGAATGATGAGACACATAGAGCTTTAGGCTGTAATAAACCCTGTTTTTGTGTTGAGGATAGTTTCAATGGATTTGGAGACAAAAAAAATTTTCCCAATTTTTTTCTAATATTCACACAAAAATCAAATTTTCTGAAAAAATCACAACTTATAAGCATCTACTCTCATTGATCAGGTTAAAATTGTTTTTTAATTTTTACGCTTGTCTTAATTAGGTATCAAATAACTCCTGTAAAATTCATACCAAATTCACTTGAACTTAAAATGAGAACGAAAAATTTAAGCTAAAAATAAAGGAAAAAAAGTGTAAAAAAATTATGTTTTTTAAGTTTCGAACACAACCAGTAGAACTATGTCCGAGATCCTATAACATTTACGGGTTTTTTGTTAATAGATTTCAGAGACATTTTTCAAAATTTTATTTTTCCTTTTTTCACAATTTAATAAGTCTGAGGTTTTCCTCTATTATTTTTTTTCACTTAAATTTACAGAACGGGAGGCCTTCCCGAGGAGCGTAGCGACGAGCCCGCCGGTTTTGCTTTTGCTCCTTAAACCAATAGGCCCTGCCTTAATAATTCGAAAGACATGATATGAAATGTTTCACGGGACACTGAATCACATGAAGGAAACTTTGATTCCGACATCTTTTACACATTCAAATGACAATCTATGCTTATCATGCATCGGCAACCTTCAAGGTATCTAATTTGCAAAATTTTCGTTTTTAAGTTCACTATTTAATTTCAACTTAATTATATAGTTGATGGCTTTAATTTCTGAACTCTTTTATTTCATATTTCTACTTTTTGATATACTTATTTAAGCAAACCAAGAAGTCGACTTGAAATCAGTAGGAAATTTTTGTTTCACAGTTAAAATTAGTCAGAAAAAGTTTTATGCTCAACCTGAATCATTCTAAGTTTTAAATGTTGTAATTTAGTGCTGAAAAATTAATTGGAAATCTAAACCAGTCCCCAAAAATTCGCCAAACCTTAAAAAAACTTATCGCTACCCTTTAAAATTAACAGCAACAGTTTGAGGCTGTAAATTAATCAGTTTTTAATATACAAAAGCCTTGCATTTGAACAGAATGATGAGACAGATAGAGCTTTAAGCTGTAATAAACCCTGTTTTTGTGTTGAGGATAGTTTCAATGGATTTGGAGACAAAAAAAAATTTTCCCAATTTTTTTCTAATATTCACACAAAAATCAAATTTTCTGAAAAGAATCACAACTTATAAGCGTATACTTTCATTGATTGGGCTATAATTGTATTTTAATTTCTACGCTTGTCCTAATTAGGTATCATATTACTCCTATAAAACTCATACCAAATTCACTTGAATTTAAAATGAGAACGAAAAATTTAAGCTAAAAATAAAAGAAAAAAATTAAAAAAATTATGTTTTTTAAGTTTCGAACACGACCAGTAGAACTATACCTAAGATCCTATAACATTTACGGGTTTTTTGTTAATAGATTTCAGAGAATTTTTTCAAATTTTTTTCTTTCCTTTTTTCACAACTTAATAAGTTTGAGGTTTTCCTTTTAGGTTTTTTTTTCACTTAAATTTACAGAACGGGAGGCCTTCCCGAGGAGCGTAGCGACGAGCCCGCCGGTTTTGCTTTTGCTCCTTAAACCAATAGGCCCTGCCTTAATAATTCGAAAGACATGATATGAAATGTTTCACGGGACACTGAATCACATGAAGGAAACTTTGATTCCGACATCTTTTACACATTCAAATGACAATCTATGCTTATCATGCATCGGCAACCTTCAAGGTATCTAATTTGCAAAATTTTCGTTTTTAAGTTCACTATTTAATTTCAACTTAATTATATAGTTGATGGCTTTAATTTCTGAACTCTTTTATTTCATATTTCTACTTTTTGATATACTTATTTAAGCAAACCAAGAAGTCGACTTGAAATCAGTAGGAAATTTTTGTTTCACAGTTAAAATTAGTCAGAAAAAGTTTTATGCTCAACCTGAATCATTCTAAGTTTTAAATGTTGTAATTTAGTGCTGAAAAATTAATTGGAAATCTAAACCAGTCCCCAAAAATTCGCCAAACCTTAAAAAAAACTTATCGCTACCCTTTAAAATTAACAGCAACAGTTTGAGGCTGTAAATTAATCAGTTTTTAATATACAAAAGCCTTGCATTTGAACAGAATGATGAGACAGATAGAGCTTTAAGCTGTAATAAACCCTGTTTTTGTGTTGAGGATAGTTTCAATGGATTTGGAGACAAAAAAAAATTTTCCCAATTTTTTTCTAATATTCACACAAAAATCAAATTTTCTGAAAAGAATCACAACTTATAAGCGTATACTTTCATTGATTGGGCTATAATTGTATTTTAATTTCTACGCTTGTCCTAATTAGGTATCATATTACTCCTATAAAACTCATACCAAATTCACTTGAATTTAAAATGAGAACGAAAAATTTAAGCTAAAAATAAAAGAAAAAAATTAAAAAAATTATGTTTTTTAAGTTTCGAACACGACCAGTAGAACTATACCTAAGATCCTATAACATTTACGGGTTTTTTGTTAATAGATTTCAGAGAATTTTTTCAAATTTTTTTCTTTCCTTTTTTCACAACTTAATAAGTTTGAGGTTTTCCTTTTAGGTTTTTTTTTCACTTAAATTTACAGAACGGGAGGCGCTCCCGAGGAGCGAAGCGACGAGTTCGCCGGTTTAGCTATTGCCCCTAAACCATACAGCCCTGCCTTAATAATTCAAAGGACATGATATGAAATGCTTCACGGGACACTGAATCACATGAAGGAAACTTTGATTCCGACATCTTTTACTTATTCAATTGACAATCTATGCTTATCATGCAACGGCAACCTTCAAGGTATCTAATTTGCAAAATTTTCATTTTTAAGTTCACTATTTTATTTCAACTTAAGTATATAGTTGGGGGCTTTAATTTCTGAACACTTTTACTTCATATTTCTACTTTTTGATATGCCCATTTAAGCAAACCAAGAGGTGGGCTCGAAATCATTAGAAAATTACAGTTTCACAGTTAAAATTAGTCAGTAAAATTTTCAGGCTCCTTCTGAATCATTCTAAAATTTAAATTTTGTAATTAAAAGATGAAATCTTAATTGAAAATCTAAACCAGTTCATTACGTCGCCAATCCGTGTTATTTCAATAGTCAGATTTGACTATTAGTGTACATGGATTCCAAATTCAAATGATATAACATGCACATGCCATGGATTCCGCGTTCAAATACTCGCATGGCGGCACGAACAGGCATATACGCAAAATCCCGGAATCCGGGACAATCAATTAAACCACCGAAAATTGGCAAAATCCCGGAATCCATGGTATAGCGAACAATTACTTGAATTCGGAATCCAGGACATGGTCCCGGAATCCGAGCCATTTTTACTCAACCACTAAACAAATAGTTGCTAAACAAATAGTTGATAAATTCAATACACTATAACCATGGAATCCAAGACGTTGGAATCCAGTGAGAAAAATGGCATGGAATCCAAGACTTTTATATTTTTGAATTAATCTGGCAGAAGTTTACAGTTTTTCAGCAATTTGATTCCATCTTTTTTGTTTAGTTTGTCCTACAAGTTATTATAACTGCAACTATAATATACGTGCTATAATACTGTATTCCTATGAAAAAAGTTGTGGGTACAATCGTTTGATCAAACTTAGTTATAACTACTAACTAATTAGTTACTAAGTAATTAGTAATTTCGAGCGTGCCGAAATACTGTACATGTACTTCGATGAAAAAAGTTGTGGGTGCAAATGTTTGAACTACTACTAGTAGTAACTACACGTATGTAACATACAGGATGTTGAACATAAAATATATGGAACTTCCATTGAATGGGTGTAACACAACTTGAAAAGTTTCTAAGGTAAAAAAGCTGAGCTTGTGAACCTCACATGTTGAACATGTATCGAGCAACTTTATCGCCATAATCGTATCGTAGCTGTTCGAAAGGCTCAATGTTTCTTCGGGCTTTGAATACAGCTAATCGTTTTGGCGGATCGAAGGCATTAAGAACAACTTCTATGATCTTCATATTCGCATCCAAATTCTTCTTGGAGTTTAGTGTGCTGTGATTAGCCAGGCGACCAAGACAGCGGTTGGTTGGATGTTCAACACACACTTCTGAAGAAGCATCGATGAAACGCTTCACAGGCGCGCCAATTTCCAGCACAAATTCAGTCGGAACAGAACGGTTCCTTATCAAATCTTGATATGTTTTATCTGTCACAGCAACCCCATGGTAGTCCATGATAATATCATCCTTCTGGAAGGCCTGTGTGCTGACAACGCCTGAATCAGAAAATGTTCAACATTTAAAGTTTACTCTATATTATGTAACACAGTTACATGGCATTTTTCAATGGAATTCAAAAAACTGTATTGGTTGAAAACTTTATGACTTTTTAAAACTTTAAACTATAACGTTTGAATCAAAAAAGAAATTTTTTTGAAAAAGAAACTTTTGAAAGTTTTGGAAACTTGTCGTCAACGTTTTCAAGAAACGCAAGATTACCTCTTCCGTAGGTAGGGAAAACAACATCACAAATGCCAACCCATTCTTGCGTATCACATCTGTGGGCCAGAAGCGTTTGTGCTTCCAATGAAAGAAAGTTTCCAGTGCCTTTATAACTAATGCCGCTGGAATCAGAAAGCGGCTTTTGTTGTCGCTTGCTTTTCTCTTTCTGCAGCATGGCGATTTGGGACATGACTTTCTTTAGGTCGTGATGAGTTTCCCATTTGTTTCGCTGGAAAAAACCCGACACGCGCGTCTCCGATACAACAAAGTTTGGATACTGTTTCACAAAAGCTTGTGCTCTAATTGTCTGTCTAATGTATCTTTGTTGATCTTGTCTACATCGCACAGCTTTTTCAACATCTTTGTAGGTGTGATTGACAATCTGGAAAAACGTAAGCGTATTGTTTCATACATCCAATTGATAAATTGTGATACTGTATAAAAAAACTGTGAAGTACAAATCAGCTGAAACAGTCGAAACTTTCCGAAAGTTTCCGAGTCGAAACGTTTTTTAAATTAAAAAAATTCTTGGAAAATCAAAGTAGTACCTTGTGAATTTCCTGCGCTTTGTGTTTCACCAGTTGAAAGGCAGGATCTTTTGACAAAGGCATGAATTTTGCCACTTGACGATCGAGCAATGTCTTGGGTCGCTTAGCAGGCTGCATTTGAGCAGAAATCTAAACAGATCCTTCTAGAACGAATTCCCCGTTGTGTTCAAATCATATTAGGAAGTTCAACTTCCACAGATTTATAAGTTAAAAGTTTAAACGTACCATGTCAGAAACTGTGGCGGCAATTCTATTCACACGAAACTTGGTGTTTCCACTGGAGTTCACAAAAAAAAGTTCTGTTTTGACTTGGATTGCTTGCTCAGGGAAAGATCGGGTGAAAGAAATATTTTCTTCCGGGACACTCTGAGGTAAGAAATGTGGTCGAACTTCAGTGTGATAAAGTTTCAAACCCTGTACGAGCCATCGCGGCAAAATGTGATTCGAACGTTCAGTAGACACTAAACAAACAGTTTCACAATTTTGAAAAAAATTATACGGAAGAAATTCAAGATGACTCACTTTCACTTGGTTCAATTGAAACCGTTATACAAGTATCGTCCTCATCTGACAATACCACAAACGCTTGTGCAACTGCATGAACAGACATGCAGCTTATGGTTTTTTCTAGCATTGATGGCACGACATAACAGTATAAGAAGGCTGTCACAAGTTGAAATAACGAAACACGTTGTTTATGGGTTAAAAAACCCGATTCTTGGAAAGCATCCAAGTGCTCTTTAACAACTGTTTCGATTTCTTGCCTCTCGCAATGTTCATTTTGGTCGTCCTTGGACGAAGCAGCTTCAAGTTGTTCTTGAACGCGTGCAAGTTTTGCAGCTATCTAAACTCAAAACAAAAACTTTTAGTTGAACTACAAAAGTGAACAAAAACATTAGCTGAAAGTTTCCAACTCTTCACGGTTTGAGCAGCAAAAGGAATTTTACCTCGGTTTGCGAGTCATTGTTCGTTGGAATAACTCGTTTTGCCATATTCTCAGATGAAAAATCAGTCGGAGGCTCTGTACTTGAACTGCCAGCCTGAGTGGCAGTCGCCGACTGCGGCGTGAACAGAGGTATTTCCCATGACAAAGTTGTTGATGAATGCTGGTTTGAAGGAGTTGATTCTGAAGGTTGAGAAAAAAAACGACTGAGTTCTGTTCCATTGGCAGTGTAATCATCATGATGATCAGTGGGCTGGCTGGCAATTTGATTTCTATGAAAAACGCGGGATCAAAGGAGTGTGGGTACACCACTGGCATTGGGCTAATGAAGTTTGAATACCCTTCACTTTGAGAAGACACTTGCTGCGGAGTCTGCAATGTGTGGTAAGTATTGTCATTATGATTAACATCTGTAATAATTGTACAAGGTTCAGCATAGGGCATAGGTCGGATGGGGGTTCCTAAAGGAACTTCCACAGATGGGTGCTGTGCAAAGTTTTGGTCGAAACTCCGAGATGTACTACATCTGTTAGTAACAGACTGTTGACTAGATAGAGGTTCATTATGATCTCTATGGAAAACAGGAGTTTCAAGTTGCGCAGTATTCACAGCAGGAAGTTCGGAGTCCATAGTTCAGGTTAACGAAACTTGGAATGAAATGAGAAGTGACTAGAAAGGATTGCAGAATCGAAGGGTGTTACTAACAACTTACTAATAATAGTATTTTTCAATAATTGAAGTTCAATTGGTGTTCAATTGGTACTCAAATTGGTTGTGATATTATGCCATATTATACTATATTATATTATACAGTGTATAATTGACTCTTAATTGCTGAATTACTGCAATAATATAAGATAGTATAATATGGCATATTATCACAACCAATTTGAGTACCAATTGAACACCAATTGAACTTCAATTATCGTTTCAATAGTCGTTTTATGCGGTTAAACATAAAGGTTTAAATTGGTTGTTAAAAAATATACTCATCATGACAATTACTCATCATGAGTACAATGATTGTACTAAATATTATTCATTTAGATAAAATCGCTCATACAAGATGCTTCCATCATTGTTCAAGGAAAAAGAAGAAGTGCAAGTTCTTGATGAAGTGACGTACATTTGGGAAGCCGCTAGAATACTGGGTTTCATTAGTAACTGGGGTGTGAGTGTCAAATGGACTGAATGGAAGGGTCCACCCGTACAGATAACAATTCCAGAAGACCTTCGCGACAATCGGAGGATGAAACATTGGAAAATAAGAAAGACAATCAAAGTTGTTGAAGAGCCAGATAGGGCTAAAAGAAGAAACAAAAAAGATCCACTTCTGTTCAACCCAAGACGCTTAACTCGCAATACAGATGTTTTTTTCTGTGCTGCTTGTGAAACAGATTGCGTTGACAAATGCATTCTGATGACAGGGGTTGTACTGTACAACGATCTTTTCAAACGGGAATGTACATTGAGAATTTTGGACTCGGAGCACGATGAAAACCCCCGAGAAGAACCAGAGGCTAACATATTGGTTGTAAAATACAATCAACTTCGAAATCAAGGGCTCTGTGAAGATACGCTTACATCTGAGGTACTTATTCGCTTTGAAAAACATCTTTCAAAACATCACTCGGAAAGAAGTTCAACTTCAAAAGAAGTTTTTTTGAATAGCTGAAATTGAAAAACATATTTTAACTTCATTCATAATCTGTTTGAAATCGTGAATTGTTTCAGACATCTTTTTGTGACACGGCTACTTTAGTTTTGGAGCCATGTGAGGTTCAGGATCATCAACGTAATCCTACAAAAAGAGCTAAAAAAGACGAAAAAGAAATTGACATGCTGACACTTCTCGAAGCCACAGAAGACATAGTGCCTTTGACCTTTGTCCCTTGTTCCAACGGTGTCCTCAAGGTTTGTTAACAAAATAATTACAAGCATTGGAAGTGTGTGCCGCAATTTTTTCAGATGTCATAAAGTTAGGAATATATGTCTCAGCGCCCGATCAAAATATTTTGTATAAAAATTCAATTCTTTGTTTCTCAGGTTGGATCAACTGCTTTCTATGGAGGGGAAAATTGCAGAGTAGACAGCTTGGAGTTTGAAGGAAGGACAAAAAAGGCCTTTGCACAGTTGACATGCTTAAATAACGAGGACATTTCTATAAGGATGCCTGCACTCTTGGTTCAGCTAGCTTGTGAAGACTACCTCAAGGTAAAGTTTTTTTAATGAAACATTCCGAATTTTAATTGTCCCCGATTCCATGAAATATAACAATGCTTACGACTGAGAAATAAAACTAGGAATTCATGTTCAAACCTTTAGCCATAAGGCCCGGAATCCAGTGTCAAATGACAAAACATTGCCAATTTTTATCACCGGCTAAGGCCTACAATTTTCATTTGAAACATTCCGAATTTGTCACGTCCCGGATTCCATGGAATTTAACAATGCTTACGACTGAGAAACGAACTAGGAATTCATGTTCAAACCCTTAGCCATAAGGCCCGGAATCCAGTGTCACATGACAAAACATTGCCAAATTTTATCACAGGCTAATGCCTACAATTTTTTTTCAAAAGTACAGGATTTTGGCACGTGACTAATTTTGTAACATTTCAGCATGAAACGTGTGACTTCAATGCAATTGAACATCCAATCAATTTATCGTTTGCGGTGTTTTCCGCCTTGAAACGTGCTGTTGGACTGGCTAGGGACAAAAACTCCATCACTTTCAATCTTGGACCCGTGACCAAACTAACAAGACAAATAATGGGTTTTTCGACAGAATCCCAAAAGGAAGTGGTCAAATTTAGTGCAGCAATATCCGAAGGAATTCGAGGCTGCCACAAATCTTGGGATTCTGTGTTGGGTAGCAGGTGGGATGTATTGCCCGCACAAAAAGACAATGGTCATGATACACTTATAAAGTATTTAAGGATTACAGAACACCGTGAATTCACAAGTTTCAACTTACGATGCAACGTTCAAACGTGCACAGGCCACTACGCAAGTGAAGAAGACTACCGGACTCTTTTTTCACACAACTTAGAACAGTCAAAACCCCATTATTTTTATTAGTTCAACTAGTTCAAAGTTTCAGTGTTTTCGCGTGAATGTGATCAATTAAAGTTTCATAATCTTCAAACCTTGACAATGTAACTTTTTTCAAATCCAAAAATTGGCAATCAATTTTTTCTCTCTATTAAATGAAAAGAAAACAAATTGTTTGCAAACACTTCAATTGGAAATGTTTCTCATGAGGCTCATAGTAAGAGCTTTAAGCTATGTTTTTTTTGACAGTGTCAGTACAAGCAGTACTGAAAAAAAATTACAGTATAATCATAATCATCATCATAACGTCATTCAATGACGTAAGTTATAAATTATCATCATAAAGTCACTTTGACGGTCACTCACAGTGATAACTGCGCGCCGCGAAGGAGTTGAAAAGGCGTATTTACCCAGAATTTGGAAGAAAGTGGACTCCACATCGAATGTTATTGTTTCATGTTCGAATAATCGAGAGAAAAATAACACGTTAAATGCGGTCGCTAGGGAGCAGAAGATTTTTTTGAGCAATATTCAGTGGTTGGCATAAACGGCTGTCAGGTTGAAGGATTTGCCTTTAACTTTTTGTTTAGACTTGGGGCTGGACTGACTAGGACACAATCATGTTGCCTCATCATCGTCATGATTTCGATTCGCTTTTCCAAAAGTTCAACTTTAGAGAAGTTGTTACCCAGGTTCGAAGAGTTTCCAGTTGCAAGTAATTTATCCTGGAAAACAATACTGGATGACATCAAAAAATATATTCATCTTTATACTATAAATTGTGTGAAAAATATTCAATATTTCAACTTGAGCATAATTTGTACGTACGTTGTCTTTTACTAGGGAAACATGTTGTGCAAACGATGAGTCGTGTTTTTTCAGAATTTGAAACACGTCAAAAATTGCCGCGAGCTCATCGAAATTTGCGTCGGATCCATCTCTGTAAACAAATTCAAAAATTTCAAAAAAAATAGATTTTGTCATATTATTCCAATTATTGATTTTGAGGTTACATTATTATAAACTTCAACCACAGATTTTCACAGTTGAATCTTTAACATGATGTTAAACTTTCAAAGATGTTAAACGACTCACTGTACTCGAGACACAATATGAGCAAGCGCAAGGAACGAGAAAGAAGGGTAGCATTCAGTGAACTTTGTTTTCTGAACGCCTTCTGTCTTGAAGGTATCAGCGGCCAGACGAAGATGATTCTTGAAAATGAAGTTAACTCCATAGGCGACAGAAACGCCTGTCGTCTCCACCATATGAATCATATTCGCTGGCATGATTAAACCTTGTCGCGCTTTCAGCGTGATAGCTTGGCACCCTCCCATATTCAAGCCTTCATGGGAACCGAAGAAAAATTTCCTTCGGGGCTGCTGCAGGAACTGGTTGAAGAGATCCTGGTTGATGCTCGTCTGGGCTATCAAGAAGAACGTCTTACATCCTTTCAGTAGAATATAGAGGACTGATGTGCTGGAAAAATCTTGGTGGAACATTGTCACAGCGCCATCTTCAGAAATGAGAAGAAAGTTGGACTCTTTATTGGGCCGATATGCTGCGGGCAAACTTTTTGAATGAATGTGTCCCAGCGAGGTACTCGATAGGAATGACGGTTGTGTAAATTTTGTGATTTTTTTGATGTGCGGCATCAGCGTCAATAATGTTGTAAAACATGGGAGGTGTTTTTCTGAACAACTGATCCACCTCTTTTCCATCAATTATCCTTGTTTGTTCCTGGAATGGTTCAATACTATAACTTAGTAAGAAATTAGAAATTGAATTGAAAAAATTTCGGAAAATCATCCAGAGACATTTCAACCTCAACTTTCAGTGAATGAATGAATGACGGTCATGATAAAAATTTTATACTGGCAATCTTTGTTGGCAAATCTTTTGAAAAGAAAGCGTACTAAAGCGTTAGTAGTACTAACCCTGAAATTCGAGTCGTACGAGCGGAGGGTTAATGGTTTTTTGTAACCTTCCAATAGAAGCTTCACGACGTTTGGGTTGTCGAGGAGTGATTGTGACACTTTTGACGTGAAGCCGTTGAAACGAAAGGCGTCAGGAACAAAAATAGCATATTCTGAGTTCAAAAACTCTGCTTCCTGAAGGGCACTTTCAATATGTCGCGCTTCAACTGTCCTTACCAACGATTTCGCGATTTTTACCTGTGAACATAATTTTTTTCTGTGTGAAACACTTTTCATTTTTTACAAAAATGAAGAAAACTCGCGCAGGATAACACTCTTCGTAAATCTTGGATAGTCGTGAAGCTCTCCAGTTGCCTCAAATGCAATATGCGTGAGTCTCTCGGCAAGACTATCTTTACAGAAGGCCAGATAGAAGCGGCCTTAGAATCCACTCTAGTCTGTTTTGCTTGCTGAAAAAAGGAAGTAAGTGGGTAGTTTGTCCGGGTGAGTCAAACCCATTTGAAAAAACCCAAAGAACCAGCGTTGTGACTTCATTTTAAAAAATTAACTCCATTCTTCATTCAAGAAATATCATATTTCTATTTCTATCATAAATAATGATTATTTTCACTAAACGTGCCAAAATCCTGTACTTTTGAACAAACTTTTTTGAGCTTTTGAGAACGATAAAAAAGTTGTAGGTTGTGACTTCATTTAAAAAAATTAACTCCATTCTTCATTCAAGAAATATCATATTTCTATTTCTATCATAAATAATGTTTATTTTCACTAAACGTGCCAAAATCCTGTACTTTTGAACAAATTTTTTCGAGCTTTTGAGAACGATAAAAAAGTTGTAGGCATTGGCCTGTGATAAAAATTGGCAATGTTTTGTCATTTGACACTGGATTCCGGGACTTATGGCTAAGGGTTTGAACATGAATTCCGAGATCAATTTTTTGCATAGTTGACAGCATTCGAAAGTGCCATGGATTCCGGGCCTAATGAATATCTCTCCGGAATCCATGGCACTTTCGAATGCTGTCAACTAGGCAAGGAATTGATCTCGGAATTCATGTTCAAACCTTTAGCCATGAGCCCCGGAATCCAGTGTCAAATGACAAAACATTGCCAATTTTTATCACAGGCCAATGCCTACAACTTTTTTTATCGTTCTCAAAAGCTCGAAAAAATTTGTTCAAAAGTACTGGATTTTGGCACGTTTAGTGAGAATAATTTTTCTTGAATGAAGAATGGAGTTCATTTTTTCACAGTTCACAGGCCTACAATTTTTTTATCGTTCTCAAAAGCTCGAAAAAATTTGTGAATTTTTCGAGATTAATGATTAACAATGTTACCTTGTTTGCAGTTGAACTTTGCTGTTCTTCTGTATCAAGAAGATTCAAGTTGAACTTAAAGACATCCCCAACTTCAGAGTCAACTTCAGCTGTTTCAAACAGTTCTTCCTCTTCAAGAGGAAGCTTTTCCTGCAGTGGAAGTTCAGCATTTTCTTGGTTCACTGAACAAGATGTTGTTGGCAACATTTGTGCTGTTCCTGCCTGTGGAGAACTCGTTGAAGGTTCTTCTTCCTCTTCCAGTGGAAGTTCAGCATTTTCTTGGTTCACTGAACAGGATGTTGTTGGCAACATTTGTGCTGTTCCTGCCAGTGGAGAACTCGTTGATTTTTTTTTGGCTTGTTGAAGTTGACTGGGCAAATAAAACACCTGGGAGTCAACTGCGTCCATGTCTAAACACAACTTGTCTATATTGACTATGACTTCCGAAGTTTGTCCAAAATCTTACATAACAAAAAAAATTGGTTGAAAATCATGTTCAACCTTCAAGTTGCAATTGATTATTTTATTATTTTATTTTATTTCAGTCACTAAAATAGCGGTTATTTTTTATTGCAAAATTATTTTTTTCAGTTGGCCAAAAGCA